AATTAAATCAATTGACACATCACTCCCATTAATTTGTAGATGACAATCTTGAAACCAAGTATCTGTCGCCACCATCTGTCCCATACGGTTATTAATATACAAATGATCACTCAACTTCTTAGCTTGCAAATTTAAATCATTTGCAACTTCTCATAAATAAAATAATGCAAAGAACCTGAATCACACAGCACGTAAACATCTACAACTATATTCGGAATAGGCGACACATTTAACAACAGCCCAACTCGACGAGTTCGACCACATTTAGGAACACCTCTCCTGATCCTTGTAAAGCAATACTCCTTAAATTCAAAACAGAGAAAGTATAACCAGATTAGCGAAAATGTTTAGCAAACCACATCCAAAATTTGCCCAAAGCCTAAATTTATCTTCCGCTATGTTAAAGTCTAATCTTGCAAAAATTCAAACTTAACTTCTTGACAAACTAAGGATTTAAACCTAGGCTCTGATACCACTCTGTCACGCCCCACTTCTAGGACATGACCCGGCCGTATCGCTACATGAAAACCTGTAACAATACGAAGCCTAGCCATACATACCTCTCGGAACCTTCATAACAACACTTGAATACATAATAATTCCTTGACCCAATATGACAAAATATAAACAACTAGTTCTTCCCAAAAACTCATCAAAACCACCACTATTAAATATTTACAATCAAGAGTAGTATGTCCAAAATGTATCAGAAGCACCAAACCAAGCACAATGTGTTACCAAAGATACAAAGGGTCAAAGGAATATCCAAAATAAACAAAATCCGTAATACGCTCCAAAATTAGGACTAAGTCTCCTAGTTTCAAAAGTCACCTTGGAGACCTCACCACTTGTGCTCGTGCTATTCACATGTCCTTAACTACTCTGAAACATGAGAAAAAAAATACAAATAATGAGCTAATGCCCAGTAAGTGGTACTCCTCTCAACCCCGGATCAAGTAACCCCAATATAATACAAAAAACTTTAGAGTAATAACTAGATGCAAAACTTGATCTTTAAACTATATCGAAGTCATAATATTCTCCATCATACTATACATAAGCTCACAAAACAAGAAACTTTAGCTACATGGGCATCAACAATATTTCATAAAACAATACTTTCAAAAGCACAAACCATTCCTTAACATATGACCCATTGGCAACCTACAACCACCATTATATTCAGTGGCCGCACATGCCATTATCAGTATAATGGTCCCAAAAAGACTCGACGATTCGGAATGAGTCAGGCTCGACGATTCGGAATGAGCCGGATGAAACGTTCCAACAAATAATTCAAAAGACTCGACGATTCGGAATGAGTCAAGCTCGACGATTCGGAATGAGCAATTAGGAACGTTCCAAGCCAAACAAAACAAACAACAAGATGTAGGTTGCCTCATGAGTTTGATCAAATGATCAAAATAGTTATTATAATCAAATAGCCCGATGTAGCAAAAATCATTTCTTTAAAATCACATAACAAAGTACCTTTTTCCAAAATAGATAATAAGTTTATCAAACTAAGAAATATGCAAGGTATAAACCATTCTCAAAATAATAATTTTCTTAGTACATAACTCTTTAAAAATCATAGAATAGTTTATTAAACCAAAATAATTTCAAAGGGATTGAAATGGCTTAGTTGGTAAGAACTTAAATTAATAAGCATGAGGTTAAGACTTTAAGTCTCACTTTGAACAAATAATTCATTTTATAAGCATATATTACATACATAAAACAAACATAAAGCCATATTAGCAAAGCAGAATCAAACTCAGGACCAACCACTACCAGCACAGCAACCATAAACCATTCAACCATCACTACACATGGTGTTAATTTCAGTCAGCCATTTAGCTAAACCTTTATCCGAAAACACAGTTCCAACAAACCCAAACACAATTTTAGTCTAAACTCCAAAATACATAAGAATTCCAGTCCAGACTTCAGCTTAGCGTTTCAAACCCAAAAGATATCATAGTCTAAAATATTTTTAACTCATACTAACCCTAAAATGGGTATCCAAAGTAGTAGAGATTTCAAAATAGGTTATATATATGGGTTGCGTAATAAGGAGAGAAGAGTTAACCACTTACCTGAAACACCCAAATCTTAGCTATTTAGCTCACCCAAATACTCCTTGTCAAATTTCCTAGAATACTCCAATAACTTGAGACCTAAGCTTGAAGAAGATGGAGATCAAAGCTTCCAGATTTTTCTTTTCCTCTATCTCTCTAGTCCACTCCTCTTATCTTCTTTCAAATGAGATGTTTATCCGAAGACCAAAGTGGTTTCTTAACCTTTAAGGGCAAGGAAGGGCAATTTAGTAATTTCATCCAATATTAAATTTGGATAAGCTTTGACTTGTTGACCACATTTAATAAACATGGATATAATTTTATTTCTAAGATAGTGGGTATTACAATAATATTGTATCTTGGCAGTTTGCGCATGTTAGATGTTATGTAACGCATGTATTTTCATTGGATAAATTTATTAATAAAGTAAAGTTTTAATACACAAGCCAACTCGCATATTGTTTATTTGTTACGCATATTAAGCATTAATGTTCCGCCAATTAAATATATACATATATATATTTTTTATATTACTTCTTTATTTTTCGTACGCACAATATAATATATATATACGCATGTTATACAATTCAACGCATATAAAGAGTTTAATATAGGCATATTGTCTTCCTTTTTTAACGCAAATAAGGTTTAATGTTGCGCAAGTTTTATGGTTTGTCAACGCATTTTTTATTTTTATTGGATCTAAGTCAGTTAGCATACAGTCTAATGCATACTTTGTTTGAAATACACGAATAATAAAGTATAAAAGTGCGCATATTAACGAATAAATTGACAAATATCCTTTTAAGATCACCCCAAAGCAAACTGTAATATTAATAGACACATTTTAATATTTTTTTTCTTAAAAATATATGTTAAGTTATACATAAACAACACGCATGTTAAGTGCATATGTAACGCATATTAGGGCAATAAGTCCCGTCAAAGGTGTTCCCATAATGGGAATCTTTTAAAGTTGTCTAGTCATTCAATCTTTAAAAAAACGTACCCATTGTTTTTTTTTTTGTTTTTTTTTTAATCTTTTTTTTTATTTTGTCCAAGTCAACGAGTATATAATGTCTCGCACATTAAGTAGGAAAGACACGCACAATAACGTGTTAACGTGCGCATTTTAAAATATAATGCTGCACATGTTAAGTAATACGTGCATACGCCATACAATAATGGAAACGTATTTAAAAATAGAAGAAAAATATTTCAATATGTGAAATAATATAAATTGAAAACGGAAAAAAATAAAAATTTATTTGAATAATAATACCCTTTATTATAATAGGAAACGGATTCTTCAATGGGTGGGTGTTATTAGGATTCGTATAAGCAATCCACTTGTTAATAACTATACGCATTCAAGTATCTCCTTACCATACTGTATATATATTGAAACGAGTATATAATCTCTCTCGCACATTAAGTATGAAAGACACGCACAATAGCGTGTTAACGTGCGCATTTTAAAATATATTGCTGCACATGTTAAGTAATACATGCATACGCCATATAACAATGGAAAGTTATTTAAAAATGGAAGAAAAATATTTCAATATGTGAAATAATATAAATTGAAAACGGAAAAAAATAAAAATAAAAATTTATTTGAATAATAATACCCTTTATTATAATAGGAAACGGATTCTTCAATGGGTGCGTGTTATTAGGCTTCGGATAAGCAATCCACTTGTTAATAAACGTACGCATTCAAGTTATTCGCCTATAATAGTGGAGTATCTCATTAATAACGCATTCAAGTTATTCGTTTGCCAGAAACAAAAGGTTCTGAAAGAATCCGATCTATAGAGTGTGTACTTCACAATGTAGAGGTATTATTTTTTTTTTACTGTAATATAAATCTTACGGAGTAATATTTTATATTTATAAAATTTACTGTTGATCCATATGTTTTTTTTTTTGTTTTTAAATAATTTCAGGGGACTTTTATTCATATGCACATTCCACAACAGTTTGCGCAAAGGCGCGGCAACAGATTTGTGGAAGGAAAAGCTTATCTACTCATTAGATTTGAGGTGGCCTATAATACCTACAGAAACAAAACCTCTAGTCTTTGGTATATGCTAATGTTCTGTGAGAGAACTGGTGCAATATTACTGAAAGACGATTCTGAGTTCCCAACATATGCTTATGATCGAGAAGATTATAATTTCGATCAAGAGGTGATATACTGCATACTTACATTGTTTTTCCCTTCTTTTTTTATATAATTTTATTGACGTATATACAGTTTAGTAACTTTCACGATTTGGTGGATGAACAGGTGCCTGACGCTCCTGTTGGAAACTTGGCTAATGAGGATGTAATCAATGAGGAGGATGCGTAATAAGGATGAATAATGACGAAAATATCAAGATTTTTATGCGTATTATGTGACTACTTGTTGTTATTTTCGTCATACAATTTATGAATTAATAAAATTTATATATTATCATTTTATGTCTATTATGTGATCTATTATGTTATCATTGAATGTTGCCTTTATACGCATATTAAGCTCTAATGTCGCGCAAGTTAAATGTTAATGGACGCATGTAAAGACTTTGGCATTTACCACGGACCAAAGTTTCTATACATAAACCAACGCACATTCTGTTTCTGTACTACGCACATTAAGGTTTAATGTAACGTACGTTAAAAGTGTAATCAACGCATATTAAGAATTAACTGCACGCAGGTAAAGTAGTAATAACACGCACATTAAGCTAGTAGCAGTGATTGTTAAACACAAATCAGTGATAAAAACAAAAACTAGTAATAGCTGGACATTAAATTCAAGTATCTCAATTGTAAAAAGCGTTCTGAAATGAGTTAACTAAGTAGTTGTGTTTCATACTATTTGCTATCCATTTTCGTTCTCGACTGTAAAGGCGTTGAAAAAATAGTCTACTATGCCTTTTTCTTACCCTTTTGCTTGTCCTTATTTTTGGGGTTAAGTGGGCAAGTCCTGGTGTCATGGTGATCTCCTCTAACACCACAAAAATTGCACCTCCTGCTCTCTTCTTTTTCCATTGCCAACTCATTGCTGCTTTTGATACACTTGCCGCTGCCCTTGTTCTTTGCATGTTTCGGTGGAAGTATGTTGATCTCTGAAATTTCTGTTGATCCACAATATGATTCTATAACAGTCCTCCTACTGTGCTGAGGGGACAATTTTTCCTTTCCTGACAGTAGCAGCTGTTTCTGTTCATTAATCACTTGGGAAAATGCAGTCAATTGCTCCATGTTTGAACCTGCCAGATCCATACAACAGTGTATATCAGACCACACTTTGTTCAGCAACATCTTCTTTTCATCCTTTGGTCCATTCTGATTGTAAATCACACCATCTATTTCAAATGTAGCTTTTAAAGGTGCATCCTTAGTCCACCGATTAACCACGTACTTCAGAGGGATCCTTTCAAGGTCTCTAAAGACCACAAATATGTGTCTACACAACAGTCCAACTGCATTTGGCCTCATGGTCATTTACATTGTGCACCACAGTAAATCTTTTGTTCTTTCCATCCATAATATCATAGTGCAACATTCCACCGTCTTCTCTAACACTCAACACCATACATTTGAAACAGGAGGCACATATTTCTTCCTGAACTTGATAGAAAACAGTAATGGTGTAGACGATTGAAGCGTGCTTTTCAATCCCCAGAGGCGTCTTCATATCTGGATTGTAGCCTTCGTTGTCACTGTTGAGCTTTGTGTTTGTGTTACGTTGTGATTTAAGAGCACTGTCAAAGTTCATCATGAATTCAACTAGGCTTGATTGGGGACCAGTAAAACGGCTGTACGTGTAGTTCTCACTTTCGAAACGAGAAGTTTTCCTGAGTAGTCCTCCCATAAATCCATCTCTAAAATACGCTGGGATCCAATGCTTTCTAGCCTCAAACATAGTTTTAAACCAGTTGTGTTCGACTAAGTTGTACTTTTCCATGAGCTCTCTCCACTGCTTCTCAAAATCAGGAGGTTCCAAAGATGACGTCCAAACGATTGAGTTCAGTTTGTTCCTGAATTCCTCATCCTTGTTCAGCGTAGGACCCACCTTTTCCCCAACTTTACACATGATGTGCCACATGCAATAACGATGCCTGGCTTGCTTGAAAACTGTTGGAATCACCACTTTCATAGCTGGATCTTGATCGGTGACAATTATTCTTAGTTCCATACCCATTGCCTTTTTAAATTTTTCAAAGAGCCAAACATAAGACTCAATGTCTTCTTTCAACAATAGTCCAGCACCGAATGTTATACATTTTTTATGGTTATCAACTCCGGTGAAGGGTGTAAAAACCAGATCGTACCTACAAAACAAAAAGCGTCATCACAGTATGCAGGTGTCAAATTGCCGCACTTAGAGAATTAGAGTAACGCACATTAAGTATTAAAATAGCACACATATGTAATTGAGGTCTAATTCTGGAAATTTCGCATTAATATGCGAGACAGTAGCGTTTAAAATGCGTGGTATAAAACGAAAATGTGCGCTTATTTGTATTTCAACTCTTTTTCAATAAAACAGTGAGCGTGTCTAAATCTTAACACATCTCAACAGATCAGGCAATGCTAAATGTGTATTAATTAATGAAACGTACGCAAGAATGTGAATAGAATAGTATATACCTGTTTGTTTCTTTTTTGACATTGGATCTACCCAAAACAGTCTGCTCATCTACTCATCTTCATCAACCTCGTAGTCAAAAGCAAATGCAAGGCACATCTCTTGTTTCTTAATAAGATTATGCACCAGTATTTGTGCATCAGCTCCCAATATGTATGCTCTGAGATCCCTTCTGACATTTTTAAAGTCCACTACAGTTGCTCCAACTTCAGAGTAATCCCCCACAATCTGACTGTATAAACCGTGTGATTTTGATGCTCCAATATTTGCTTTAGCGCAGTCGAGTATAAACTTCTGGTGAACACTGGAGATGTTTCTATTTCCCTTTAGAAACTGCCTTGCCAGAACCGAAGACATGTTGTGATTATGTTTTTCAATAAAAGTGGTAACTTGGTACCCAGCTACTCCAATGTACTTAAACATAGTCCTAGCTCTGCAACCAGTTCTGTTTGAAACCCTTCGCCGCTTTGGACGGGAAGGACCTTCCCCTGCATCTGCACTTGACTGCGAGTGACAATGTTGAGCTCCTGTATTCTTAAATCCTTCTCTATTGCAAACGATTTGCTTTTGAGTTTTTGTCCCGTCACGTTCTGTAACGACGGAACTAGACCTCATGTCAAACCCGACTTTCGCAGCATAATGAGTGTAGAATTCAATACCAGCATCCAATGTTTTAAAAATCATGTCTACTGCTGGTCTGATTTCGTCTTCACAGTGAGGAGTCCAATACTGTGTCATTCTAGGAGATATGGTCAATGTATGACCATTGCTGCTGCTGCTGGGACTCAAACTGGAGTTGTTGGTAGATTGAATGTCAATGGGAACTGTAAGATATAAAGCATGAAGTTATGATCGTGTTGTTGCAAGCCTCTATGTGCGTAATGTGAACACTTAATATGCGTTAAGTTAATCAGATCATTGTCAATATGGCAGATTTATAAAATACAAGAGTAGGTGCGGCAAGTGAGAAATTAACGTGCGTCAGGGTAATAGTTAACGTGCGCATGTTAAACAGTTAATATGCGTGAGTGTTTGTTAAAATATTATGTCATTACTTAACGTGCGTCAAAGAGTCCAGTAACATAACATGCGTCTGGAAAGGAATTAATGTGCGTGTGCTCAACAGATAACATGTGTGAGGAAAACAGTAATATGTGCATTTTTAAAAATGATGCGGCTACATAATCATCTACGTGCGTAAGGCTCTAGGCTCGGATTAATTAAAGTAGCTCAGTAATTCGGTGGTTAAGTTGCATGCTTAATGTGCGTGTAATTAAGACAAGAATGATGCCAATACAAATGCAGATAAAATTAATTCCAAAAAAGCGATAGAATTTGGGTAATACCTCGATCGAATTCTTCCATTGTTCTTTGGTTGACGTTTTTGATGGGTTTAGGGTTTATTTTGACGAATATGATATTGAACGACGAAGAGAATAGATCTTATTGCCAATTCCGTAGAGATCGTAAATTCGTCTGAGATTAGGAAATATAGAAGATTAGGAATCAATGGTGAATTTTGAAAACGCTCGAAGAAGAAGAAGAACAGATTTTTTATTTTTTTTTAATATAATCAAAAGGACAAAAATGCCCTTAATGAGCAATTCGCGCTTAATTTTTCCTATTAATCTGATTCGTTCGGTCAAGAGCTACGTGGGGCTTAGATTTAACCTCATTATACACGGGAAGGAGTAAATGCACGGGAGCCCTTCCCTCTATATATATATATATATATATATATATATATATATATATATATATATATATATATATATATATATTTATTTATTTAATAATTTTGAAGCGAATTAATCATTAATTGAAATTTTATAAAACCTCCCACCATTAATTGAATCGAAATATTTTGGTTAAAATATAATTAATTAAAATTTATTGATTCGATCTATTAATCGAACTTTCACTAAAGTTTGCACACCCCTACTTAAAATGTTTAAATTAAAGGAATGTACTACTATTAATTATAAAAAATATGATAATTTTAAAAACTTGTAGGGTGGGAATGGGCACCAGGTCCAAAGCCAATTAAATTTGGGGATTTAAGGTCTCTGTCTATGTTTGGGATGTTAAAGTTTAATTTATTTAACTAATAATATTGCATACCTATCATTAAATAAAAGTTGACTAATTTGCTAACATTTCATTAGCTTACTACTAAGCTTTAGATTTTTGTACAGTGGTTTTTTTTTTTTTTTTTAAGTTTTCTAATGTACTAAAATAACATAAATATTGTCATTTTATAATGCAAAATGTTTTCAGTTTTACATATTGGGATTGAACGATAGGGTTTATACCATTTGAATGCTAACTTGCTACTCACTTGTTGGTTTTGAATTCATATTTTAGAAATTTATTTAAGTAATATAATTTCAATCCGGATTTTGAACTATTGTTCTTATTTCTACTTTACTTAACTACAATTACCACTTACCAGGTCCACCCATTTAAGGATTATGTTTTAGTTTTAATTTATTTGCTCTTTAATTTTCATATGTAAAAGTTATATGGATTATGTCAGAGAAAGATAGAATCAATGAACTTTCGGTAGAGATTCTTAACAATATTTTAGAATTTTTATCAAGAAAATGCTAGAAATGTTGTATTGTCCACCGGATGAAGAAATATTTGGACCAGTCCTACTCGACTCAAGTTCAATGATTTCTTCTTTGACTACACTTACGACAATGACTATGATGGTTATATGCGGTTATTTGTTTGGTTTTATGTAATCAACAAAATTGTCATGTAGCATAATGAGCCTATTTGAAAATTTGAGTTTCTTGATGATGACAAAGCACGTCCAGCTATGGAGGATAGTAATCCACATTATTTTGTCACGCAAAAAGAAGCTGATGAAATGAGCCTTTTTTTATTATCTGCTTCCGCCTTACACGGAAAAGATTGCATCTTTATTGAGTAGTACGTGTTGATCTATTAATTGTTGCATATTTTCAAATGACATTTCACTTTGTTTTGAATCGGTTTGATAAGTGTAGTGAAATTTTCTGTTGATGAAATTATGCTTGAGAGCTCCTCATTTATATGAGAATGCTTTAGTGACTAGTAATAGGCCTATGTAAGGCAGGAATTTTTTTACAGGGAAGAAAAAAAAAGAGGCAGCATAATTGAAGTTATTTATTAACAAAAGCAAATATATATAGGAACATTCTTAATTTCCCACAATGCGAACAAATTAGAAAACATTTCAACTTCCAACAAAACATTTGCTTACATTTCTAGTTTGCTTACATTTCTAAGCTGCAACCAAATAGAACCCATGGAGATTCACCATACTAAGTTTTTGAAAGTACAAAACCATGGGTATCCTTCCAATCATTATGCATAGATGCATAGTAATTGCCCGTGCAGACAATTTGTGCGTTTGGAGATGCACGAGGGAAGCATTCCAACTTCCTTTGGATTTTTCTCGCCAGGGCATTCGTACGCCAAGACTTCACAATAACAACTCTCTCTAGCGCAGGGGATTTTGAAAGCAGCATTTTCATAAAAAGCATTTCGATTGCGTTGTCACTAAATGATTCAATCTTGATTGTGTTAAGCATCTTTAGATCCTGAATAACAAAGCCACCGTTTGGATCCTCCAAAAGCCTTGAAGCACCTTCTTCGTCATCATTCCAAGCTAACTATAACTCAAGAAGAAATGAATGAAAAACAATACCAACTATGAGGACATTTGAAAAAGCAAAACAAGAAGAATCATACAGGGCCATATACAAACTCTAGGTCATTCGCAATAATCCGCAGTTCACATAGGTTGGGGCATTTTTGAAGTAATTGCATAGCAACGGCGAGGTGCTTCCGAAGATCAAAATTTAATTGATATATCTTCATCACTTGCAAATTTATTGCAGTTGGAAACACAGATACATCCATATCCTTGAAAAATAGGAACAAAGAAACAACATTAGCCACCACAAGAACTTTAACAAGCTAGAAGGTAAAGAATTATATTAGGTAAAATGAGTTAGATTCTCACCCACAACGAAGAACCACACAACCAAAGAGTCTTAATGTTTTTCAAATGCGGTGCCAACCATCTCGAATAAACTACACCATATATAGAACCAATAACAGATAACATTTCAAGCTTTGGCTGGCCGATCTCAAACTTATTGATCCCTCGACAATATCCAAAAGCCAGCTTCTCAAGTTTAGGAAAACTAATACTAGAGGCAATTCCACTAACACTGAACTTCAATTCAACACTGTAGAAAGCTAATGAAGTGACATTGGAAAATATACCACAAGCATTTACAGGTAAATCAATAGAGGGACCTCGGACTTTCAGTTCCTTAATTGTCCTGCAAGAGAGTAAACAAAATGGCACCTGATATCTCTTTTCCTCACTATCTAAACATATGTTAAGTTCCTCCACACCATTTTTTGACAGAAAAAGACACCACCTATCAATATCAAACTGCGGCGGCTGAGGATCCTCATACGAAATCTGTAGAGTAAATTTCTTAACAGGCCCAGCACGGGGAAGCAGGATATTATTGATTATGTTCCCAAGGGTTATACCATCTTCTTCATCATCGTCATACCACACACTATACAAGAAGTCCAAATCGAACGCAAGCCGCCCATGCTGCAACCAAAGATCATTCCAGTGCCTTGAGAGCAGAGTCATTCTGGAGGCGTCTTGGGTGGGCAAACACTCCAAAATTCTGTCCTTTACCTCTACCGGAAGCTCACTTATTAAATCCCTAGTTGCATCCGGTGCGGTTTTGAGTCGCCGACGTCGAGCCATTAAATTGAAAGAACAATGAGGCGCAAGTCGAAATCAAAAGCTAAAATCGTTGTTCTATTCTTCAACGACAAGATTTCGTATTTGGTAAATAAAAGGAAATTAGGAAGAGTTGGGAAGAATACAGAGATTGAGGGAAAAGTGATAGAAACCCTCACCTCTGATGTTTGGTTTGGGCATTTTACGGGTTATGAAACGGAGAAAACTAAGGCCGACCGCTGGTGGAGAGACAGAGAGACGCCTGAGTCGCAGGGCTGAATGGCGAAGACAGAGAGACGGCTGAGTGGAGACAGAAACCCTCACCTCTGATGTTTGGTTTGGATCTAGGATTTCATTTTAGTTTTAGGGATTTTACATTTTATCTATATATAAATTAAATAAATTATATTAGTGTTAAATATAATTAAATAAATTATAATTATTTTACAAATTAAAATATAATTATTTAAACACAAATTAAAGTTTAATTATCTAGTGATACATTATATAAAAGCACATATGAATTTTGTTCAAAAAATTTATTGTGCTTTTTTTTTTAATGTCACATCCACTAAAACTCAAACTCATAACCTATTAACCTCGTCCAACCTTGGTGTCATTAGACCCAATAGTTATGCTGTGGAACCGTGTTCATCATGCGCATGGTGAATACGGGATAGATCCATAATTTATAAGTTGTAGATTCATAATTTCTATATTGTATATTTATAACATCTATACTGTAGGTTCATAATTTTTATATTATAGATTCATAATTTCTATACTATAAATTCATAATTTTTGTACCGTAGATTCATAATATATGTACTACGAAGACGAAATAATGCGATTGCAAAGAGATAAACGTCGTTAACAACAAATAAAAAACAAAATTATGAATCTACAGCATAGAAATTATAAATCTACCCCTGTGTAGCATAATTTGTGCATTAGACCACAAGGTCTTAGTAAATTTATTGTGTTTAGTTGTTCAAGGTTTTAATTTTTAACTAGAAGGTTTGAGGTTTGAGTTCAAGTCTTGGGTTATACAAATAGTTAAAAATATTTTAAACAAAATATTTAATTAATTTATTAATAAAAAAAAAAGTTGGATTGGGCTAAAAATCTCAACCCTGAATTGTAACAGGCCAGATACGTTTTTTTAGACAATTTATATCGTGGACCAGTGATCAAAATGATGTCGTTTGATATTTAAACTTTAATAGACTCCGTAACTTTCCGTTTCAACACAAATTTTAATTTATTTTAGATACAGAATCTTTATGGCTAATGTACAGAATTTCATTACATGATGTTGGAAAAAATAGCTTAAAAATGGCATAAAAATGCATTTTAAGTGGCTATTTTGTGGTACAATTATCAGTGGGGTCCACTTCCGATTTGGGTCGGGTCAAAGTAGATTCGGATACTTCGTAGTGAGACGAAGAGATTGATATATTGTACGCTCAAAACGGATAATGGGTGAATGAGATATTGATTCTCAAAGTAGACCCATTTGAGTTGGAAAATAAAGGAAAAAAGTGAGCTTTTTGTCCCACATTGCTTTGGAATGAAGATTTTCCCCCCTTATATACAAGAGCTCTTTTGAAGCTTGTAGAATTGTATAGCATAGAGACTCTCTCGCACGGGGGAAATTAAATTCCAACTAGCAGAGATTGGAAAAGGCTTGCCCGCAAGGTGCGGGCCGAAATTGGCCAAAGGAGGACGAGAGCCTACACGAACCTGTACTGCTTTCTGTGACCGTTGGGTTCAATTCTTACTGGTACGGAATTAATTCCAATCTTTATTTTTGAATTGAAACCCATGGTAAATGTTGCTGTTACAAGGTGTAGTGGGGGGTGCCTTAAAGTGCCTCATTAAAAGCTTTTGGCTCCTTCACCCCTATATAAGAGAGGTAGTGAGAAGCAGATTTTTACACACTACAGCACTACCACTGTACACGAAACATTGTTTTCCAGCCTCAAAATTCTGCTTCTACTCACTTTCTTTGCCTACTGTGTTCATAGCTTGTCTTGCTCGCCGGATCCTTTGTTTGAATGCTCAAACATTGGATCTTAGCAAGTTTTATCCTGGGAAGCCTAGGCCACAACGCTCCTAGCATCTACGGGAGGTGGCAAATAAGGTTTTAAGGAAAGAGTGCTCACTCGACTCTTGCAAAAACCCAACATCAAACACTAGCCTTTTCCTTCATCTTTTCTTCTCTCATTTCCAGAAAATAATAGTCATATTTTATTTGATTATTATTTGTTTTCCTACCAACGGTTTCTACAATCTTAAAACCTTACTTTTTGTTTTTCCCGTTGGTTATTTTTCTCTAATTTCCTTGAAGAAATGGAGAACCCGGAGTTGCCAATCGTTAACAATGGGGAAGAAAATGTTGTTGAGAACAACAATGGAGGAAATGGCAACAATGTTGCTAATTCCCAAGCTACACCAGTGAACGTTGGTTCACAGGATGGTGGGAGCACTGAGGGATATATTCCCATGTCTCGGGTACCTACGGTACCGAGTGGTTCGGCTGAAAAGCCGGAGAAGTTCACTGGTGTTGGTTCGAACTTCAAGAGGTGGCAACAGAAGATGTTGTTCTACCTAGCAACTCTCGGCTTGGCAAGGTTCTTGTCCGAGAAGGTTCCCGAGTTGAAGGAACAAGATGTACAATCCGTGATGGCAGTTGGCTATTGGAAGGATTCGGACTTCCTTTGCCGAAACTACATCCTGAATGGATTGTGTGACACGCTATACGATGTATATCGAAAGATAAGCACATCAAAAGCGTTGTGGGAAGCTTTGGATCATAAATACCGAAGTGAGGATGCCGGCTCAAAGAAATTTGTAGTTGGCCGATTCCTCGACTTCAAAATGGTTGATTCAAAGACCGTGCTAAGTCAGGTAGAAGATTTGCAATTAATCTTTGACGAGATCCGTGACGAGGGCATGGTGCTAAGTGAAGCCTTCCAAGTGGGATCTGTGATCCATTTATTGCCTCCAGGTTGGAAGGATTTCAAGAACTACCTTAAGCATAAGCGAAAGGAGATGAATCTGGAGGACCTGATCCAGCGACTCAGGATTAAGGAAGGGAACAGGACGAATGATAGGAAAGTTCCTATTGTTGTTGGCGCTAAGGCCAAAGTTGTGGAGCACGGTAAGAGCTCCAAGAGGAACAAGAAGGACAAGCGAAAGCTAGGTCCGAAAGGTGGCGTTACCAAGAACAAGTTTCCTGGTGAATGCTACAATTGTGGCAAGCATGGCTACAGAGCATCTGAATGCAAGGCTCCAAGGAAGAAGAACAAGAGTTCTGAGGTCAATGTTGTTGGAGATAGCAGTCAGAAGGAGGTCGAGATTAGCCTTTCGGCTATGGTGACCGAGGTGAACCTCGTGGGCTCAAACCCTCGTGAGTGGTTCATTGATACCGGTGCAACCAGACACTTGTGTTGCAACCGAGAGATGTTCAACACCTTTGAGACCGTTGAGGGTGAAAAGGTGTGGATGGGAAACTCTGGTCAGTCTGCTGTGGAAGGCATGGGCAAGGTGGTTCTGAAGATGACTTCCGGGAAGGAACTGACGTTGAACAACGTGTTGTATGTTCCTGAGCTAAGGAAGAATCTGGTGTCTGGCTCTCTGTTGAACAAGCATGGCTTTCGCATGGTGTTCGAGTCAAACAAAGTAGTTTTGTCTAAGTTAGGGATGTTTGTTGGTAAAGGATATGTAACTGATGGGCTCTTTAAGCTCAGTGTAATTCCTGTTATCAATAAAAGCAAAGTTAATTCTGTTTACTTGCTTGAGTCTTCCAATTTATGGCATGGTAGACTAGGTCATGTTAACTTTAATTCTATGCGTAGATTAATTAGCATGGACCATATTCCTAACTTTAATATTGACACAAATAACAAGCGTGAAATTTGTGTTGAGGCAAAACTAACTAAAGTACCTTTCAAATCGGTTGAAAGGGAATCTGAACCACTAGAATTAATCCATAGTGATTTGTGCGATTTTAGACCGATACAAACGAGAGGTGGTAATAAGGATTTTATCACATTTATCGACGATAGCACACAATACTGCTATGTGTATTTGCTTAAGAGCAAAGATGGAGCCGTTGATAAATTCGTTCTTTATAAGAATGAAGTGGAAAACCAACTTAATCGGAGAATTAAGAAGGTTAGAAGCGATCGAGGTGGTGAGTACGAAGCACCTATTGGTGACTTCTATGCGAGTGTAGGTATAATACACGAGCGTACTGCACCTTACTCACCTCAATCGAACGGTGTTGCCGAACGAAAGAATCGTACATTGAAAGATATGATGAATGCGATGCTTATAAGTTCGGGCCTACCTCAAGATGCTTGGGGTGAGGCGATTTTGACAAGTAACTACCTTTTGAATAAGGTACCCCGAAAGAAGCTCGATAAGACTCCTTATGAGCTGTGGAACGTGTGGGGGTGTCTTGCCAAAGTTTTGGTGCCAACACCTAAGAAAGTAAAGATAGGTCCTAAGACGGTGGACTGTATCTTTATTGGCTATGCACATAATAGTAGTGCTTATCGGTTCTTAGTACACGAGTCCCATAATCCAGACGTACACGAGAACACGATAATAGAATCAAGGAATGCATATTTTTTCGAAAATATATTTCCTTGTAGGTCCAACGAGGGACCAAGTACGCCAAAACGAACGTTTGACGAAACTATGGATAATGATAGTGGGGAATCCGAGAGAAAACCCGAGCTCGAGCCGAGACGCAGTAAGCGGGCGAGAGTTGGAAAATCATTCGGTCCTGATTTTCTAACTTACTTGTTAGAGTACGATTCGGGTACTCTAACTTGTTTATTAGAAAATGAACCCGATTTTCTATCTTGTTTGATAGAGAACGAGCCTCGAACGTA